CCCGCCATACTCTGCTCTTCTCTAGCCCTGTTCAGAGGGAGCCTCTCACCGTTGACCTCTGCCCATCCCACAATTTAAAAATTACAGAAAGATGGTGGGGGGACAAAAACCTTATTGAGAAATGTCTGTTCCCAGCTCAGCTTTTGTCAGATCTACCTGCACTTGGTGCTACTAGGGGCAGCTGGTTCAGTGGATAGGGCTGTACAAACCCTGAGCTTCTGCAGGGTCTCATCACTGGCTCCACAGACACTGCTGGTCCCTCTTCTATTTCCTATTGAGATAAATTGGCCACCTCATGAGGATACATTCCTGTCTATCATATTGCAAGGAACCCCTGTGACTGGCAGCCACCAGGTGCCCAAGGACTATTTCTAAAATGAATGAACACAACCTCCACTCACAGCTTGATACAGGATGCTCCTCGACCCAGAAGGCCCCCTTGGGGCCGTCCCAGTTAACACTACCCAAAGGGCAACTCTGCTTTTGCAGCCAGCACCGCAATGTCTGCCTGGGTTTGAACAGTGTATGAGGAATCACACCTGGTATACCCGGGGGGTCATCTGGTCCTCCAGGAAGCAGACGCCCAGACAGATAGGACTGCAAACTTTTATTAGGGGAAACACTGCAGAAGAGTAGAGACAGACGAGGCAGCACTGGGCAGGGAGCATAAAATGTATTGGATTGGCCGGGCGCGGTGGCTCACGCCTATAATCCCAGCACTTTGGGAGGCCGAGGCAGGTGGATCACGAGGTCAAGAGATTGAGACCATTCTGGTCAACAAGGTGAAACCCTGTCTCTACTAAAAATACAAAAATTAGTTGGGCATGGTGGCACGCGCCTGTAGTCCCAGCTACTCGGGAGGCTGAGGCAGGAGAATTGCCTGAACCCAGGAGGCGGAGGTTGTGGTGAGCCAAGATTGCGCCATTGCACTCCAGCCTGGGTAACAAGAGCGAAACTCCATCTCAAAATATATATATATATATTTATTGGATTATTCTCAAAATTACGTCGGAGCCACAGCATGGCTATCACAGCTCAGGGGCCTCTTCACATTTCATTTCCATGTGATCTTTTGTTTTATATATACTTTGTCTTCTATAAAATATCTGTGCCCCTGGTAAATACTTCTCTGTGTGTCTGCATCTGCGTCTTTATGCCATGGAAAGCAATTATCTACAGGTCTCAGATATAGGTCTTGGAGTTTAACTATGTACACATTCTTATAATTATCTTTTCTTTTATCTGGTAGAATCTGAATTGTAATCCTGTAGACAGGGGCATTGCCTTATCTTTTGAAACGGTGATTGGAAATTTTGGCCTGAGCCGTTGCAGCCTATGGTTCATCTAATGAACTTCACTGAACATCTTTTGATGATCTTCTGAGTGGGAATACTTTCATTTAAACAGTGAGAGGGGTGAGTGTCTAACACCTATCAGCTATTTTGCAGAATGCTTTCTTTACGGGCTTGGTCTCTTCATACTCACAATGACCTCATAAACCACATCATCCCCAGCTCATTTATAAGAAAGCTGAAGCTCTGAGCTCCACTGAGAGTTCGTGTCTGGGCTCAGGCAGCAGGGACACGGGGAAGGGTGACAAATTTACATGACAATGTTAGAGATGCAAAGCTGGGAGTCAGAGGTGAGAAGCAGAGGGTACCAGGAATGAGCTGAGACCCAACCTGCTCAGGATTGGCCTTCACTTCCCCACCAGAGTCGGTCTCATTCTGAAAGCCAAGGCTGCAGCTCTGCTGAACCACTGTTAGTCTCCTTGAGCCATAATAAACTCAGGCAGACAGGGTCTCCTTACAGAACCAAGTTAAACTTCCCAGACCTCTAGGCATTCATTCACTCTGATCCAGAGCCTTCACACATCCAGGGAAAGACTCATCCTTCCCACAGATAATAGACTAAAGGCTTTAGGGCAACAAGGAACTTCCAAGGAGGATACTTTAGGGCATAGGGAAGTTCCCTTGTTCACACTGTGCCAACTGAGCTCTCCTATAGTGGCTCTGTTGTGGCCTTCATGCAGCTGCCGCACTCCAGTTCACACTGCTTGCCCCTGCCAGAAGCTGCCTTCCAGCTTCACCTAAGTGAGTTCAACAAACCCCCATGTGACACCTCCCCACTTTATCTCTCTTCCATGCCCTCCTGTTTATTCCCAGGAGAATCCGTCTTGCTTTCTTGCACTCTGGGGCCCTTCACTCCTGCTTCCATTATGGATTGTCACAAGATCCCTGCCCTTTGGTGTGTGTGTCTCTGCTGCAGGACATAGGAAGTGCTGCAAGTCAAGGGTGGGTCTCATCCCTTACAGAGCTGGCCACATAGTCAAGGTTCCATACATGCCTGCAAAATTGGAATTTATGGCTTCTATAAACAATCTCTTTCCTCATCTACAAGAGATACCTGCTTCCTTGCTCGTGATGGGGAGATGACGCAACCCACTGCATGCCCTCAGAAACTTGAGAAAAGTAACCACGTCCGCAGCCAGTGTTACCCTTGTGTTGTAAAGTCCTGTGGTACTGTAGCAGGAACAGCCGTGGGAAACAGATTTCCTAATTATTTGGCCGGGAGCCTGGGCATAATTTGTCCAAAGCCCAGCTCCTCTAACAAAGGAAGTTTCTGCCTTTATATAGGTTTATACTTTGTGGAAGAATCTTAGGTTTATAGCTTTAGAAATCACATATGAAAGGGTTCCTGTTTACAGTTTTAGGACTCACATGTGAAAATGTCTCTGCTTACAGTTTCAGGAATTACATATGAAAGGGTTCTGGTTTACAGTTTTAGGACTCACATGTGAAAAGGTTTCTGGTTTGATCTTATTTTAAGTAAAAACAGTGTCTTCCAGAGAGTTTCCCCAAGACCAAGCGTGTTATTTTCAGGAAGGAGATTCAGCTGGCATGTTCTCTCTTCTATTGAGCTGCACAGTGGATGACAGAGGGGGAGGGAATCCCAGATGCCTGGGTCTCCTTCCTCAGTACCATCCGTGATATTTCTTTCTATTCACTCAATGAGTAAAAAAAGATGAATCCACTTTAAAAGCCAGTCCATACTGTTCAGATCAACATACCAAATGGTGTGCATGGAGGCAGTGGTTGAAGTCCCAGAGGCCACCCAGGCAGAGGAGGTATCTGGCAGCCCATGAATGGTCCTGAAGGGCCAGCCAGGCCATAGAGCAAGTAGGGCAATCCTGAGAAAGGGGTCCTCCTGAAGCCACATTGACCTGTAGAGCAGAAGGAAGAAAAGTTTCAAAATGTGTTAATATGATGGACAAAAACACCAACATCAATACAAGCTCCACCCCATGCACCAGGTGACAGTCCCTGGCACCTTCCCCTGGTCCAGGTTTCAAAATAGCAGTGTCAGTGCCAAAAATCTCCCTTCTACGAGTCCTGAGCACAGCTGGGATGTGAAGGGAAGCCATGAGGTTAACCTGCTGTCACCACATGCCAATGTGTCTGTCTATAGATGTAGGCACTCTGGGTCCTGCTCCAGGGAAGACAGAGTCATTACACAGTAGTAAAAAAGCATATTCCAGATACACGGTGTCTAGCCCAGGTATACTCCCATCTCTCCCTCATCACCATCACTGAAGTTAGTTCCTTGCATGTGATGAACACAGACAAAAGGAGGAATGAAAAGCCCATTATTCATACACGAATCACAGCTACTCTTGGGAGAACTTTTACAGGCCTTTCATGTCCTATCTCTGATTCTCAGGATGCTGCAAGGTCAGTGTGGCTACTCTGTGCTAAATCAAAGAAAAGAGGATCCCAGAGGAAGGAAAAAATTCACCCAGGGTCACACAGCTTGCCAGAGGTGGAGTGGAAATTGATCCCAGCTCAACCTGTAAGACCCTCTTGTCCCCCTCTGCCTCCCTTCCTAACAAAGGGTCTTCTCCACTCTGGAGGTACAACCCATGGGCACAAAGATCTCTGGAGAGATGTGAATTCCTGAAGTCCTGCAGGGGAACTGGGAAAGGGCTTTGTGATAGAACAATCAAATCTGTAGAAGTTAGTTAGGTATAGCTATAATATTTATTTTAACTCACAGGTATTACCAAATTTTAAATGCACTATGACATAAAGAACAATTTTGTCCACGGCAAAATGAGATGGGAGTTCTAAATAACAGAAGTAAAACAACTGTGATTTGATTTCGAGTGTGGAAGTCCTGTCATGTGTGATTGAAGGACTCACTAGCTGTGAAAGCTACAGGGACCACATGAGAAAACAGCTTAGCTGACTGTAATTTAAGGCCTTTGTTGGGAATTGTCCTTGTAGCCAATTAGTGACTTTCACTCTTCACTATCTCACATCCAGTGTACATTTCCTATTACAAATATAAAACCTCTGACAACAAAATACTCCATCAAGGACACCACTGGATGGGGAGGGGGCATTTTTACATAACAGAGTTGCCGACAGAGATGGGACAGCGATTAATTGTGGAATTTGCTTTGTCAAAGAGCATTCAGATTTCCATGAAGCACATATTAATACTGGATGAATGAGTTTTTATATTTTCACTTATGGAGATTACAGCAGATATTCTAAAAGTTAGTCACCTACCCCATAAGAATAGAATAATAGCAGCAAAAAATCCCCACATATTTGGGGGAGGGGACCCAGCAACAGCTTGAGTAAACAGGGACTACTGGGCCGTGAGACCTACAGCAGTGGAGTGAAGTGGCATCTTCTCAGGTTATTTCTGGAAACACAACAGTTAAAGCTCTTCAGCCCTGGGCCCTTAAGCACTTATGGGTTCTGGAAGTGCCACCAAAGATGACCAGCTGGGAATGGAGAAGACTGAAGCCTCATGGAAAATATTTTGCCTTTTAAAAAGTGAAGAGACAGAAAAGATATCACAGAACACACAAGCCAGAGACAAGGCCAGGAGAGGGTGCTGTATGAAAAGATAAAAGTGTCCTGAAATAGGCACAGTGAAAATGACCACAGCATTGACCTTTATCTTCTCTGTGTTCTCAGTTGGGATGCAGCTGCTATTCCTCACGGGAACTGAATGAGGTCGTGAGTCTGCTAAGGACCAGAAAACTATCGGGGCTTTTTCTGGCTTGCATGATCTGTGCAGAATAAGAAAACCTCCATGTCCACATCTGCCATGAACCTCTCTTTGTCACAGTCAGGTCCCTTATCAGTCACAGAGGAGTTTATTAATCAGAAGCCACAGAAGACCTTGGAACCCTCTGGACCCTTGTCCTTGAAAAGGACACCACAGAGCCCTGGTCTTAAGAAATCAACTAACTACGAGCAGGTAGGGTTCAAACTAGCTGGATATCAACCCTAAATCAGAAGTTCCCAGTATCTATCAGAGGACACTACTTATAAATTAAGCACAGACTAAAAATTAAAATAGGAGCAGCCATGGATAGAAAGAATATCAATAAACCCTGGACAGGAATAGCACTGCTCCTTTTTTTTTAAGCCATGGGAACATTCACAATTCTTGGGATTCATATTTAATCTAACTTCCACATCAGACCAAGTATTATAAATATTTATGAACAGAAATGGACTTAAAGAGACTAACAGTAATGAAAAAAGGTAAGAGCTATGGGAATTAACTTTAAAGCTTTAGGGTTACACTTAAAATGTTAGAGGAGTAAAATTGCATAGAAATTTATTACTAATGGAATTGTCTATTTCACAATAAACACTTCAAACAAAAATAATACAGGAAGCTCCAAAAATAGTAAATAAATGCCTCTTTTCCTAAAACATATCTCATTGTACAATACTGATTCACAAAGACATAACAAGAAAATTTCCTCTCCTTAGGACATACAGCTCCCGTTCTAAAATGTTATTGGTGTTGCGTTTCTCAAATGAAAGAAAAATAAAGCCTTCGCACTGACTCAAGTTGGGAAGTGGAGCTGGCTCATTTCCCTTCTAGGCTCATCACCTCAGTTAAAAGTAACCAAAGTGGTATCCACAGTCAGTTGATGGGCTTGAGCTCCAATATTCGCAGGGGACTAGATGAGAGCCATTTGACTTGAGCATTTGAGGAAAATTGTGTCCAGCCACCTAGTGAGACAACTGTTCTCTTTAGTAAGTACTTGAAACTCTCTCCAGGAAACATAACAATTACCCTCCACCCTGACCCCTCACCCTCAAAAGGAGAAGCAGAGTGTGTGGATTGTACAGCAGAAGTTATGTGGCTGCCTTCACAGTGAGCTCCTACCTCTCCAGGGAGGATTCTCTAGGCCTGGTCGTCCACTAGCTGGCTCCTGACTAATGTGTCTCTCCAGCACTCTGTTTTTCAATCATTTCCTGTCTTGGAGTCAGAGAAACAGTGAACTTGAATAAGAATTAAAATGCCGGGCCGGGCGCGGTGGCTCACGCCTGTAATCCCAGCACTTTGGGAGGCCGAGGCAGGTGGATCACGAGGTCAAGAGATCGAGACCATCCTGGTCAACACGGTGAAACCCCGTCTCTACTAAAAAAAAAATACAAAACATTAGCTGGGCATGGTGGTGCGTGCCTGTAATCCCAGCTACTCAGGAGGCTGAGGCAGGAGAATTGCCTGAACCCAGGAGGCGGAGGTTGCGGTGAGCTGAGATCACGCCATTGCACTCCAGCCTGGGTAACAAAAGCAAAACTCCGGCTTAAAAAAAAAAAAAAAAAAAAGAATTAAAATACCAAGTTCTTTACTAGGCACTCAAAGCTTTGTTTTGTTTAAGCTTCCCTTAAAACAAAAACATCCTTCAAAATGTCCATCACAATTACCTACCTGTGCTGCTCGTAGGCAGCCTTCTCTTCCATCTCCCTCTGCAAGGCTTAAACACAGAGCTGTGGGGAGAAAAATACATCCACGTCCTGACCTGGCAGACTATGCCCAAAAGCAAGGAAAGAAAAAAAAAAGCTTACCCAGTTGTCATGAGCCTTTCTTTCAGAAGTGGTGATCTGAAAAAGCCAACACATGAGAAACCGTATGTTTAAGGAGTCTAAGGACCACGATATTATTTGCATCAGTGCTGAAGGATTCTGCAACTGCTGGGAAGAAGGCTCCTTACCTGGCACCTGCAGTAGTTCTCTACCTACCTCTGCTGCTCTTCTGTGTCTTCCATCATTTTTCTATGGTTTAGAATCACTTTTATCAGGTAAAGTGCCATTTTCAGGATGATTTTAAATAATCTGCCATGTTCTGGTTACCCTCACATCTGTACCCTTACGCAACATATCCATAGATAGAAAACACATTTCACATGGTTATAAAAGTACAGTATGATTAAAAAAAAACTGTTGCTATATTGATTCCTCATCTATTATTTAATGCCTGCTGGGTTCTAAGTTGACAATTTCCTTACCTACTCTTAGTATGTCCTTAAATCATCCTTCATTGAACATCACTTATCATAAATCTCTATTCTCCTTGTACTAATATCCTTACCATATTTCACAGGGCAGGAACAACTGGGCTTATAAACAGGCACAGTCCTTTTTAAGGATGTGATTGATGCCACCAGAATTCACTTTCCTAAGGATGATGACGACCATCCCTAGAAAAGTTTGTGTGAACCGAGTTTCCACACAGTCTGCCCAGCAGTCGAGTCATAGTTTTTGGTCACTGGTAAATCTTAAAGTACTTTGTTTTTTCTTGCGTGAATTCTCTCTCTCTCTGCAAATATGTCCTCTGACCATTTGGTTGTCTTTCTGTGTTAATTGGGTCCAAACATTGTACAAAAGTTAAAAACAAAACACTCCAACAGAGGTTTCCCAAGAGGTTGGTGTGCAGTCACTGAAGTCACTTGTAGGTGTGTATTTTCTCAACTACCAATTTCAAGTTTCCCACTGCCTCTGATAGCTGCCTCTCTGCTGCTCACTCATGTTCTTTCATCTCAGCTTCCTGAAATGAGAAGGAAAAGAAATGTATGCGCAGGATCCAGTAGCCAGTGTGGGCTTCTTTCTTCCCTTCTAGTATTTGAAGGCCGTGATTCAAAGGTCCCCTTCCAACCTTCCCATATATATACAAGCAGATCTTCACAACCAGAAGGAGAATTGAAGCCTCCCATTGAAGGACAAAGAAAAATCACACTCAGGCCTGCAGACAAGTCCTCTGTAATTTCCAGTTCCTCTTCATAGCTCTATACTCCTACTCACTAGTAGGAGTAAATAAATCAAGGACTATAAAAAGTAGGAGTAAATAAATCAAGGACTATAAAAAGCTTCTATGAGATGCATGACATGTCCTTCTGGAGTCAGTCTTATGCTTGACACAGTGAAAGCTCATTTTAGTTCAATGTGGAAAACCAGACCTGACCAACTCATCACTATAAATCAATCAGGATGGAGCAGGGGATCATCCCTTGTCTGACTCCTCCCATGAGGAAACCTGATTCTCAGTCAGAGGGTGATGCCAGAACCCAGGCAATCAGCCTTAGAGAGATCCTTCCAGGACACGGTATCATTAACCTTATAGTTCACTACTGCACGTTTCCATGATTCAGGATTGGAACTCCTGTTATCAACTTCAAAAATTCTGGTTGACAGAAAAGGAAAATCTGAGTGCTAGGTATATCTACTGAATCAAAAATAATCTGGGTGGCTCCTTAGTCAGGGTGTTATGTCCTGGAAATAGGTGACAACTGCAAACCATCAACCCCCGTGTTGATTGAGTTTAACAAGGTTTAGTTCATTGATAGTGGAGGCAGAAAAAGGCAATAGCCTAAAAAGATAGGTTTGATGTGTTGCCCTCACACTACTTCATTCATGAATCTGATTTAAAGGATCTCATGTGATAACTGATTTCATACGAAGGACACATAAAATTCCAAAAACTTTAGGAAACAGGGACAAAAACACTTCAAAGAGAAAGTTAATGCACTTGTTTCTGACCACCTAAGCCATCCTTCATGCTGTCTGGAGAGGCCCAAAACAAGGAGTGTGTTGTGAGGTACTGAGGATGCAAGGGGAGCAGGGCCCTGTTCCCGCCCTAAAGGAACTCACAGTTTAATGCAAATGAGAAGCCAGTGAGAACACCACTACCCCTGTTGTACACTTGCGAACTAGGAACACAAAACTTGAATCTTAAAAAAAAAGCAAAGGAGGAGTTCTGCTTTTGAGTGGGGATGAGTGCATATTAAGCTTCTGATCTCCCATGAGAACAATGAAGAACACCAGACAGAATATAAAACACAGGATTGAATGCATCAAATTCTTAACACTAAATTGGCACTAAAGAGACATGAGGCCAAGATGGAGAAGAAAACCCAGGACAAAGATCAGCCTAGCATTTGGGGCCTATTTCCCTGAGTTTCACTGCTTAATTCCAGAAGGCACTACCGAGATGTAAAGAACCAGAGCAGCGTTTGCACAGTGCGTGGGATTGGATGGAAAACAAGTGGAGTTGAGGGTCTGCCAATGAAGGTGACCCCTACTGAAGTTCAGTGGCTTTGGTTGGGATCCAGAAGAGTCACACGGTAGGAATAAAGGTGGACATGAAATACATTGGCCTTTATAAGGACTGAGTGTGCACTGATGACCTAAGTTGCTACTGGATGGAGGGAATCCAGGTCTGCTAGTTCCCCCGACCATCCACCTGAAGTAGACTCCCATTTTTTTCTGCAAGATAACATCCTAGTAGGCCTCAATTTGTTTCTGAATATTTTTTACAGTGTCTCACATTTAATAAAAAATGATTAATCATGTGGCAGGAAAAATGCAATGTAATATGACCAAAACCTAAAGGACTGTGAAAACAGATCTAAACGTGACCCAGGTATTAAATTTAAAAATGCCAGTAGCCGTTCCCTCTCTTCCACCTAATCAATTACAAACAAGAATGTATGAAGGGGGGCGGGGCGCGGTGGCTCAAGCCTGTAATCCCAGCACTTTGGGAGGCCGAGGCGGGTGGATCACGA